ACTCCGATTCTATACACACACCTGAAGCAGCAAGCGATGTGTGACCATCTACCTACTATGATGAGCGACCTGTGAGCCTTCATTGTGCCACGTAGAGACAATAACAGATACGGTTACAGTCGCGTAGAGAATAGATCGTAATGTAAGCTTCTATTCTGTCACATAGAGACAATAACAGATACGGTTACAGTCGCGTAGAGAATAGATCGTAATGCGAGCTTCTATTCTGTCACATAGAGACAATAACAGATACGGTTACAGTCGCGTATAGAATAGATCGTAATGCAAGCTTCTATTCTGTCACATAGAGACAATAACAGATACGGTTACAGTCGCGTAGAAAATAGATCGTAATGTAAGCTTCTATTTTGTCACATAGAGACAATAACAGATACGGTTACAGTCGCGTATAGAATAGATCGTAATGCAAGCTTCTATTCTGTCACATAGAGACAATAGCAGATACGGTTACAGTCGCGTAGAGAATAGATCGTAATGTAAGCTTCTATTCTGTCACATAGAGCACCACATAACGAGATAGTACAGTCTGCGTATAGAATAGATCGTAATGCAAGCTTCTATTCTGTCACATAGAGACAATAACAGATACGGTTACAGTCGCGTATAGAATAGATCGTAATGTAAGCTTCTATTCTGTCACATAGAGACAATAACAGATACGGTTACAGTCGCGTAGAGAATAGATCGTAATGCGAGCTTCTATTCTGTCACATAGAGACAATAACAGATACGGTTACAGTCGCGTATAGAATAGATCGTAATGCGAGCTTCTATTCTGTCACATAGAGACAATAACAGATACGGTTACAGTCGCGTATAGAATAGATCGTAATGCGAGCTTCTATTCTGTCACATAGAAACAATAACAGATACGGTTACAGTCGCGTATAGAATAGATCGTAATGCAAGCTTCTATTCTGTCACATAGAGACAATAACAGATACGGTTACAGTCGCGTATAGAATAGATCGTAATGCGAGCTTCTATTCTGTCACATAGAGACAATAACAGATACGGTTACAGTCGCGTAGAGAATAGATCGTAATGCGAG